AGAGAGAGAGAGAGAAAGAAGAAAACGATACAAATGAGAACTCGTACAACGAATGCCTCACTGGATTACATATATCGAAAGCTATCCAACAACCGACACTTCTCATGGTGGAACATGAACACGTCTCCTTTGTCTCAAACTTGCCAAGTGTAAAGAATTTAATATGCACACAATATATGGTCTCATCTCTTGTGTAGAATTTATCCAAACCCAAAGAACATACTTACCATATGGATAGATCCCAAGAATCGAATTGTAATAAATTATTTTTTTCTTAATATTTGTATAGTGTTGAGATGAATATAAGTATCAAAATATAATATCATGAAGTCGAGTCCACCGCACTTACTTCCTGGATGCTTCCTTCCAGTAGTAACTCACCAAAAGGAGATTCAATGACAAAACTAAAAATTAAAGTTTCATATTTTGAATCATACCTCCTTGTGTTGATTACTTTTTGAAATTTTCTTCTCTACTTTATGCTTACATGATAGATCTGATTGATCAAAGCTCTACCCGAAGAGTCATAATTACTTTGAAATATTAATCATATTAAAATATTTATAAAAATTGAGGCTTGAATATTTCAGTTTGAGAATAAGCAAGAAAAAGAATCCGTTAATATGTGAGTCTAGCAACATCATCATATTAGGCAAAAAAAAGAAGAACCAGCATCCTAAATCTTGTTGTCCCCTCCTCTCGCTTTCTCTGTGTTCTTTTACATCATTTAGATAATTCTTTACATTGTACTCAAAGGAGCTCATAGATGGCAACGTTGGACTTTGGAGTATGTCGGCAAGCTTTGTTAGCCTGAGACCACATGTGGCGTGTCCATGCCATGCCATGCTGCACTTTGTGCCAAACAAGACTGTGACTGTTTTCATGCTTGGCTTTCATGAGCTATTTTGTTTCTTTGTTTTCTTCCGTGATCTCATTCCTCTTGAAATCAATTTAATCTTTTCGATCTTACATGTAAGACAACAAATAATTAAGATAGTACGGCTTATTGTTACCGTCGAACTTTTTATTTTCCTTTTTTTTTTTTGGGGGTCATCTCATCACTCTCAAATCAATTTAATCCTTTCGATCTTACATATAATTGCATAATTAAGACATTATGATATATCGTTATCATCAAACTTTTTCTTTCTTTTTTTTTAGTGATCTCATTACTTTTGAAGTCAATTTAATCTTTTCGATCTTACAAGTAATATAAAAGTCAATATCAAATAATTAAGACATTACGGCTTGTTGTTACCATCAACATTACACATCGATATGAGTCTTCTCTCCTTTTTATTTTCCTTTTACTTTTGATCTTTCTTTTATATCATTCTTTGTTTTCTTCTAACGTTTTATAGGATTTATATGAAATAAATTGCAAAGATTCTTACTTGATCAAACTTCTAATTTACCATTTACTTCTAATTTTTTTAATTTAAGAAGGCATTATAAGGTAAGGTAAACTTTTTTAATAATATATTAAAAATATGTTAATGAGATAAAAATATTGAGCTGAATATGTGGAGTTATTATGAAATATAAAAAAAAAAAATTATTCATGAATAACTAAATATCGTTTCGATTTAGGATAAGATGAAAAAGACTTATTTAAGAGGACAAAGATATGTGTTTGGGAGATCTATGGATGTGTTAATTAAAAAAATTAAAATGATTAATATTGATGATAAGAAGAGAAACAAAAGGAAGTTTAACGAAAACTATAAATAAAAATTTAAATATTCTAAATTTAATTAAACATATAACTTATTATCACGATAAAAAATCTATATACCTGATTTTAAATAATTAAGACTTATGACTTACTATTATATTGTAAGACAAAGAATTACATAGGTAAGAAACGAATGGATACTTTTTCTTCTTTCAAATACAATAACACATTCAAACATGAATTGATTTATATCAATACATTCAAATATCTGACATATGTCAACGTTATCTTGTTTACTGGCAATTTAAGTGCATGGAGCAGCAGCATGGAGAACAGCAACAGGACTCCCTCCTCATGATCCATGGGACTGTGTGCCCAATCTTTAATCCCCAGAGCAAGGAGGATCCAAGGAACTACTGTTCCTCAAAAGCTCATCGAGAACAAAAGAAAGGAAGACTCATGCATGTGGCAGTAGTAGCTTTGGCCATTGGATATATAGCAAGATGTGAAGCACAGTAGTCGTAGTAGTAGTAGTAAGCATGGATAACATGTTGGGAGATCAAAGTAGCTCATCAATCCCCCTCCTCTTCTTCCTCCTTGTCTTCTTTTACATGGCAATTGGAGAGCAAGATGTGAACCATGGATCACATGTTGAGATTAATGGACTCCATCAATCTTCTTCTGCCCCCTTGTCTTCTTTTGCATTGCGACTGTGCATCAATTGTCCAGTACTCTCCTTGGGGCTCTCCAATGCCCTCTTCTCCTGCTCTTCCTCCTCCTCCACCACCTGCTCGCTCAAACCCCTCTTCCTCTCCTTCTTCCTCCGCTCGACGCGGGCCTTCAGAGCCTCCAGCAGCTCCGCCGCCGCCTCGCGCCTCTCCCGCCTCCGGTTCTTTATCAGGATCTCACTGACATCCGCCGGAGTTATCTCGGCCTCGTCCACCACCTCCGCCAACTCCCACATCAGTTCGTCGTTCTGCTCGCCGTCTTCCCATCCTAGGTAGTTCTTCATGAGGATCTTCAGCGCCAGGAACGAGCAGTAGCTCATGAACACGTGCATGTCCATCCTCCCCGACCGCACCAGCGCCGGGTCGAGCTTCTCGATATGGTTGGTGGTGAACACGAAGATCCGCTCGCTGCCGCAGCACGACCACAGCCCGTCGGTGAAGTTGAGCAGCCCCGACAGGGTTATTGTCCTGGCGGCGCCGCCGCCGTCCTCCGTCCCGCCGGTGGGTCTCAAGTCCGATGGCGGCTCACACGGCGGGACCGGCTTCTTGGAGCTCCTGTTGCTGAGATTGACGGAACAGTCGATGTCTTCGATGACGATGATCGACTTGGAGGTGGTCTTCATCAGGAGCTTCCGGAGCTCGGAGTTGGTGTGCACCTCAGTGAGCTCGAGGTCGTAGACGTCATAGCCGAGGTAATTGGCCATGGCAGCGATCATGCTGGACTTGCCAGTGCCGGGCGGGCCGTAGAGCAGGTATCCGCGCTTCCATGCCCGGCCGGTCTTCTCGTAGAAGGCCTTCCCTTGAGCGAAGTCGTTGAGGTCGGCCATGATGAGCTCCTTCCTCGCGGGATCCATGGCGAGGGTGTCGAAGGTGCTTGGATGCTTGAAGGGGACTGACTCCCACGGGAAGCCACGGGACTCCATGGAGCCGCCGCGGGAATTGGTGTACAGCAGCCGGTCCTGGTTCCGGCGGCGGAGTTCGGTGGCGGTCTCCATGATGTGGTCGAGGTACGCCGGGAGGAGGAGGGGCTTGTCCTTCTTCTTGATCCGGAGGGTGAAGCTGCGCTTCTCCTCAGGAAGCGGCCTCCAGGAGAAGGTCTGCGACTGGCGCTGCGTGACGGCGTGCTCCCAGGTGGCGCTGGCGCCGCGGAAGCTGTCCACGAGGCGGTCGTTGTTGGCGAGGCCGAAGGTGAAGGCGGAGGAGTTGAGGCCGCGGGAGAGGCTCAGCCGGGAGGACGCCATGGAGGCCGACCGGCTGAGGTACAGCTGCACCGCGTGGTACAGCTCATTGGTGTTCACGCCGTCCGTCTCCGTGATGTCGAAGTAGCAGTACGTGGAGAAGCAGCGGAACAGGCGGTGGAACAGCTTCGCCGCCGCGAACCACAGTTCCGGCGGGAACACCGCGTGGAGAATGCTCTGGAAAAAGGCGAACACGCCCATGATCGAGGCCAGGGAGGTCCACACCTCCTTCATATCTCCCCCTCCCCTGTTCTTCCCCTGTTCCCTCCTCCCCTCACCTCCAACAAAAAAGCTTCCTTTCTTATCGCTTTCTTGCTTACACCAACAAAAAGACGGAAAGCAGTTTAGATTCTTGAATCGATTCTTGGAATAACGCAACAGATTTCTGGATCTTGATTGGACGTCTCCACCCTCCGTTCCTTCCTCTGTATTGCCCTACTCTGTTTCAAAGGGAAGAAGAGAGGAAGGGGGAGAGGACAAAGTAAGACGACAAGGAAAAATAAGATTGCTTTGAAGCAAGAAGAGGTTGGGGAGAGGATGTATTTATAGAGGGAAGCTTCACCCTCTTTCTTGCTTCCCGAGCTTTTGTGCGACTTCAAAGATGTGAGAAAAAGACCATGGCAGGACCTGTGGAGATTTAGTAGGCCACACCTGCAAACAGCAAGGAATAAATAATCATGCATGCACATAAATGCTATCACTCTTGTGAATCGTATCACGGTTTCTTCACCTCAGCATCATCGACTCATATTACTAATGCGTTCATCGAGGATTCTCTTCTCTTTCATCTTAGCTGTTAGCAGCATGGCCTTTCAAATCAATCGGAGGGACTGATATCATCAACAACAACATCTATCGCGCTCTCTCTCTCTCTCTTCATTCAATGCCTCCTCCTTCCCTTACCCTCATCAGCTACCAGCAGGGGAGTTCTTTCCCGGCTTCTGCTCATCGATTTCCACATGCAGCAAACGCAGATTGCAGGTGCAAGCAAACAAGGCAAGTAAGCCTCGATTCGCAAGCAATCCACACAGGGAAGCGAAGGGAGCTTCAAACAAGGATGAAGCATGCTCGACGCAGCTCGACATGAACAGGCACGCTTCCCAACATCATGGAGTCCGATGTCCTATGCCTTCTACGCTTCCTATAAACCCTAACCAGCCATTGGATCGTGGATTCATCAGCAAATGGTTCTCTCTCTTGTGTGTGTTTCTAGTTTACGTTGCTGCATTCTGCCATGGCATGCACGTACTCCGAGCTTATAACATAATCTTACTTTACAGAAAAGAATCGAATCTACTGCGAGCAGCTGAAGGCAGTAAGATGCAAGAGGTTGAAGAAGAGGCAGAACAACTCACATGTGAGTCCAAAGTTTCTGAGATCGAAGGCATATATTCCCTGCTCCTGAGGATTCTTCTGCGTCCTGTGATCGATCCTCCACTGCAAACCAACTAGCCTCCAAATGAGTAGGTACTGTACTCTACACCTACTTGAAGGACAACTTTTAGCTCAATATGGAATCGAAAGAGAACACAGCAAGCTCAATACACCATGTGACGATCCATGTCACACAATTTAGGATTAAGAACCTATTAGTTATTGCAATATTAGATAACGATCTTGTGAAAAAAAATAAAGGATCACATGTAAATTTAATCCTGTCTCAACTAGTAATAACAAGTTATTACTATCCAAGATTAAACCAAATTAAAAAAAAATCAAAATGAACAAAAATTATATTAAATTAGAAAAAAAAAACTTACACTCTTAGACTTCAATCCTATAGGCTTGAATACTTGAGGCTTGGATGGATCTATACATGTAAATACCACATATTTATAAATGTAAAATATAAGAATCTCTAATCTCTATAACTCTATTTATTCTTATTTAAAAGGTAAAACATCAATTTGACATGTTTCAAAATATAGTTTAACTTTTTAAACTAAGAATTCATTATCCCTACAATCCTATCGAATCTTATTTAAAAGGTAAGATATTAATTTGTTATCTTTCAAAATATACTTTAATTTCTTAACACTCTCCCTTAAATTATATATTTGGAGATAAGTGTCAGCTTGCTTAGAAAATCTTTAAATTATCCTTTAAAAAGAGATTTGGTAAAAATATCTATTACATTTTCTTTAATTTTGATCTCCATGACCTTAATAACTCCTTGAAGCACCATTTCCTTGGATAAAATGATGTTCAATTTTAATATGTTTGGTTCTTGCATGACAAATTTGATTTGTAGCTAATTTTAAGGTACTTTAATTATCACATGTCCTCGATTCGATGCCTTAACTATACACATTCTTGAGTAACAAGTGAGGAAGCATTGTATTCTGCTTAGATTATAAAAAGAGAGATCGATTGTTATTTCTTACTGTATACCATAATATGCAAGTAGAACCATATAAAAAAACTTAGCTAGAAGTAGATCTACTATTATCCATATCACCTCCTAGATCAGCATCCAATTCAAGGGTAGAATTCATATATATTAAATTTTTTTTTGCTGTATCAAGATGTGGTATACAAAACCAACTAAAAATGCAATATATGGTCTCGTAATTGTTAAGTAGATGAGACTACCAATAATAACAAGTAAAGATCAAGGGTAAGAAAGAATCTTCCCATCATTATAACTTAACTAATAAGACCCTAGGATTTTATCATGGAAGGAAGAGGAGAAAAGGGGATGATCACTTCGAGGGGATCGGCCTCCTTGATCACTTCGAGGGGATCAACCTCCTATGGTTTGTCCAAAAACTAAATAATATTTCATTGTCTATTGAAAAGAAATGGTTACATCACTATTTATAGAGTTCCACCTAGAGTCCACAAGGACTTGGACTCTTAATAATAAATAAATATTACATAAACCTCTACCTGACTCTAATTGAATTAAAAAACTCAATAAACATTATTCAAAAGCTTAGAAAATAAAAAGGTCATAATAATTCCTCCCTCTTCAAATTAGTTTTGTCCTCAAGGCTGAGCACTATCAAACTCAGGGAGTTTCTCTTTCAACACTTCAATCACAAGATATTTGTGGCACATCACAACCCGTTAATCGAGTAAGTACAGTCCCCACTTCTTGATAGTGTAAGTAATAGGTTGGCCTTTTGGTGTTATAGTCTTCTGAAAAACCCTCTCCATTTAATGGCTAGTGGCAGTTGAGACATTACTTCCATGTCTTCCCTTTAGGATCACCTGCTTTCCATTAATAAAAAATTTCATGATTAGTTTAGAAAAAATTCACGAAACATCACCCAAGGTTGATAGCCATTCAATTTTGAGCACCACTTTGAAGTCTTCCAAGGGTAGCAAAAAGAAGTCCACAAGTAACTCTTGGCCCTACAAAGTCAGTTTAATCTTTGAAAATTTGTTATCACAGGTTAAAATTCGACCATCGATAACCTTTACTTTGAATTTGTTATAGTCTTCAATGTGGTAAGCTAATCGGTCGGCAACCTTATTGTTCATAAAATTATTAATACTACCAGTATCAATCAAAACTGTAACATGTTGAAGTTTCAAAGTTCCTCCAACTTTCATAGTTTGTGGGTTAGAGTAGCCGGCTAATGCATACACTATATATATATGATAGGTCCTATTGAATCTCGGATTTTGATGATGAAACCAATTGATAAGTGTTTATGAATTGATCTGCGTTTTGAGTGACGTAGGATGCTTCGATTAAGATGAGATAATTAAAGCAGGAAGAATCATGTTGGGTCGATAGAATATGTCAGAAGATTGGACGTCTAGCCGGATGATCAAATGACATATCGACAGAATGCTTTGGGCCATGGATTCGGGCATCGGGCTAAGAAGAGCGAAAATTACGCCAAGAATATCGGAGTTGTAGAGGTCAACTGGCCGATTGGGCAATAGGCTGCAAAAGAGGACGATGCGTCGAAGAATCGGACGAAGCATCAATGGACCAATGTCATGTCGGACAACATGATTAATGCTTAGTAATAATTATCTAAATCAAAATATGTTTATATATATGCAAGATTAACTACGATAGTAAGGCATAAAGCAAAATAAAGTCATGGAGTCAAGAACGTGATTTCATTGGGAGTTCGAGAGTTCGTCGAAAGTCCGAACATTCGTCGGAAGTTCTGTCGGAATTGACTGAGAATTCCCAGAGCTTGCCAAAGAAGCTCATCGGAACTCGCCAAGAAGATTATCATAAAGTCCAGGAGCTTGTCGGGAGTCCGTTGGAACATTACCAAGAGATCGTCGGAAGTTCGCTAAAAGATCGCCGGAAGCTCGCCAGAAGAAACCTAAACTTACGAACTTTGTTTAGCTTAGTAAATATCTTAAAATTTGTAGTTAGTACATAAAAGGGATTAGAATTGGGCCAACCCAATTAGGGGACAGTTGGGCCAAGTTTGGACTGTGTTGGGCCAAGAGAAAGGCCCAAATAGTGACCAAACAGGTGAAACCATCATGACACAGTCTCCAAGACTGTGTCAAGCGGTGGTACCGCATGTTTAGGTGGTGGTACCGCTAGTCTAGGCGGTGGTACCACCCGTACCCTGAAATTTCGGGGGTTTGAATTTTAGGCTCTAAATTTGAATCCATTTGGGGCCTATAAATACCCCATCTATTCCTGCATAGAGAAGCAAGAAATATTGAGAAAAACCTTGTGATTCTAAAGTTGTAAACCTTAGAAAGTTGAGATTCCTCTTCCTAAAGCTTAGAGAGAGTTCTAAGGGAGGTGTGAGAGGGATACCTCGTAAAAGTGGATTGTAAAAGGTTGTCTCCTAAAGCTGTAAAAAGGAGAAGAGGGGTGTAAAAGGGTAGTTGGTCTTTGTCCATTGAAAGAAGACCGATAGTGGATGTCGATGGCCTCGACGGAAGAGGAATCAGTGAAGTGGATGTAGGTCACGACGACCGAACCACTATAAAAATCTAGTTTGTGTTTCTCTTGTGCAATTTACTTTACTGCAAACCACTTTACTTGCTTTACATCTACCATGCTCTTCCATACACTTTCAAAGTTAATACCTTTATAAAACAGTTTTTTGTTGGAAATAGATTTAATCGCAACGAAGTTTTGAACCGACATAATTTTTACCGCTACACTAATTCACCCCCCCTTTCCTAACAATTGGTATCAGAGCCTTGTATTTCTCATTTGGTTTAACACCCAAGAGAAATGATACTTTTCGGGTTTCAAGAGGGTCACTCTCTCATTCGTCCTCCCTTATTCAATGGGACGGACTACACATATTGAAAAACTCGAATGAGAGTTTTCTTACTTTCGTTGGATTTAAATTTATGAAATATTATCAAAAGCGGTTTTCGAAGATCTTCTCTTCCAATGAACAATTGGAATGATTTGGAGAAGACTTTTTCCTTAAATGCTAGAGCTATGAATGCTCTATTTTGCACTTTGGATAAAACTGAGTTTAATCGGGTTTCTACTCGTGAAATGACTTTCAAAATATGGCACACTCTCGAAATTACACATGAAGGCATGAGTAGAATAAAAGATTCTAAAATCAATCTTTTAATGCATGATTTTGAACTATTTCATATGAAACCAAGCAAAACCATTGGAGATATGTACACCCGTTTTACGGATGTTGTCAATAGTTTAAAAGCACTTGGTAGAAGTTTTTCA